GGGGGGCCCGCCGCCGTCTCGCGGGATGAGGGTAGGTGGAGGGGGTTGGGTGTAGTCCGATACACGCTCGCTCATCCGAAAAGGAGGAGAAACAGCCGAGAAATCACCAACTCAATCATGATGACGTGGGCGCCTTGTTGTCATTCAGGTGATGAGATGATGCAAGGAGTCTGGATCCGCTGGAGGGAGGGATAGATAGATGGAGGGGAGGGATAGCTACGCTATCCATCATCTCCATCCCTCGTAATTTTTTCCGCATGGCTCTAGGGTTGTTGAGCGCGTTGCCTGCTTGTATCTGGCCGCCGCTCGCAGCGCATTGCATATCCTCCTGTCTGCTGCATCTGCCCTCTGCGTGCTGCGTGTTTCGTGTCCGGGTTGCATGTTAGGGTGCCTGTTTCATGTTGGACAGACCGACAGGGGACTTGGCCGTCAGGCCACCTAGGGTGCTCCCTGAAACCGCTGCTACTGTTGAGCGCGTTTAACTGTTTTCTTTGCCTTGGTCGATGGGTGCCGATTGTCGTTTTCGTTTGTGTCTAAGTAAGTCCTGACTACGGGTGGGGTGGCTGATTCACTACTATGCTCATGTGTTAAGATACGGAGGGAAGGACCATGTCTCTCAGTTCAGGACAAGGAGTGCCATCAATCCGTGTGTCTGATCGATGCACAACGCGACTCACCCACACACTCAATCATGTCATGCAGATAGACACGATAGATGTACATGTGGCAAATCTACATGAGTGCCTATGTATCGATCCATCTTGTCAGTCACAGCACACCCGGCAGGACGACCCACCGACACCCACCACAACTGATGGACACACAGCAGACACATGCAAACCCTCCGTGCGACTATGTGTATTCGAATTCATCCGCCACACCTCCTATGTGCGCCATTGTATGCATTGGGAAGATTGTCCCGGTACCACCGGTCGACCCGAAGGCCTGCATACAATTGCACAACCAATAAAGACAGATGCGTAGACGACTTACGGCTTCCTCTCACCGTTCAGCACAAGAGTTGTGGTGACGAACACAACACACGACCATCTGGAAATGCCATTCACGCATACAGGCATGCGCATTGGCACACACTTTCTAACGCGGCCGTCGCTCACAGGAGTGTCTTTGTGTGAGGGTGTGCGGCGGCCAGTGCGGCATAGATGGCGATCTCTGCCGTGTAGTGGGGGCACGTCAGCCGCCGGAACAGCACACCGGGGGGATACTCCCGCCTCTCACCCACACGAGACCTCGCGCAATACAGACGGGCTAATGTGCGATGACACCTATGCTGACACACAGACACACAGACACACAGACAGACCGACACACAAGAACAGAGAGGACACGGTCTACCTGACGTCTGTGTCGGTCTGTTCGTCCACATCCTTATTCGCTCACTCCTGACTCACCTGAATGACGTTTGCGGCACAGAAGAGTACAATGGGCAATGTGGCAACACGTCCCCCACTAGTGCTGTCGCTCACGGCCCTCACAAGGGCGATCGGCGTCACTACATAAAAGCTGACCACATTGGAGTCACGTGTGGGATCTCATGCTACCGCTGCTGGTGGTTGTGCTGCTCACCTAAGTCCGACTAAATATGCGACCACATGCATTCGGCTGGACGGCTGATCATCCTTGTCCCGTCGCTCCCTGCCGCTGGTGCCGCCGAACAGGATGCGCTGCTCTAGCAACCGCCGACCGAGATGCGCCTCGTACAGCACAAGGGACACCAACGACGCACCTGACGGATGGATACGACACACACACACACACACACAGAAGTTCTTCGATGCATTGGCGCAAGGGTGGACGCCTTTGCTCCGCTGTGCTTACCATTCACCGTTGTTGTGGCGGCCCAAACGACGCACACGGCATTCCACACGACTCCCAGCAGATAGAAATGCCAGAACCAGCACTTTGGCACCCACAGGTCATCAAGCCACACCCATATCCACTGCAAAATGCCTCTGCCCGCCTCGCGTGTTCCCTTGGTCACGCGGCCCTCCCTCTGCAACGGTCCGTGAAGACTCCAGCGCCTCAGCGTCTGCGACCAGCATGTGAGAAAGGCAAACACGGCACCGGCGAGATAGTAGAATATGATTGTGGCGTCAAGGAGCAGGGGCAGGGGTGCACGGAGGCCTGGCCATGCTGGATTCATCCCATCACACTGCAGCTCATGAGATCAACTGCAGATCCAGACAGACACACACATTCATTCATCTTTTGCACCTGCTTGTCTGACATGTTGTTCACCGCCTATTGACGAGTTCTCCTTTGCAGTTTCTCCCGTTTTCCCTTCCTGCGCGAGCTTGAATTGCATGCTCAGCTTGCAGATCTCCCCCCTCGGATGCTCCACCGAAGGCCCATTGATGGCCGCTGTGTCCGCACGCCGCCTGAGCTCTGCCAAGCCGCTGCTCTTCAATGCTCAGACGCTCGAAAGATCTGTTGGCATCACATCGTTCGCCTGCCGTGACGCAGGTATGGACGCGTTGCTCATGCTGCACGCAAAGGAAGCAGCAATCCCATGCATTCGAATGCATGCACTCGGTCTCTGCTGGTGTTTTCTCTTTCTCTGTGTGTGTTTGTGTGTGTGTGCGCGCAGATGGCTTCGATGGCGTGCTGGACGCGGCAAGGCAGCCGAGGGACTACATGGTAACTCACCAGTGCAAGATCTATGGCTGTTGCTCAGTGCGATTCATTGCAGCTGAATGAGGTAGACCGTGAGGGCCGTTTGGTGCAGCTGTTGAGCCTGGAGGACTCCCTCTACCGCCTCCCACCACGCAACCCAAAACAGCCTAACCTCACATTCACACTGTACGGCACACACACACATAGAAAGCCATCCACGAACATACGCAGGGGATGAGTCGACCAGATCATCCATGTATCTGCGCAGGTACCGTAGTGGTCTGGAGGTCTACACGACGCTCAAGGCCATCAGCTACGTGTGCGACGTCCCCTACCCCCATCTGCGTGTGGCTGGCCAGCTGGGCCCCCCCACCCAGGGCATATCTGTGCAGTCTGTGATAGCAAAGAAGGTCTCCCGACAGGAGCTGCTGCCGTTAGTGGAGCAGCTGAGCGAGCGGACGGACCTCAGGTGCGGCAACTTCGACTACACCGTGACCGACGAGTTGGGCGACGGCCACAGTGGGGGTGAGAGGGGCGTCTACCGGCTGTCGGCTGCTTTGAGGCGTGTGTCACCGAGTGCTGAAAGTAAGGTGGCCGAGATGGTCACTCAGATCTCTCAAGTGGGCTTCCTCAACTACTATGGTACGTCGGTGGACAGCCAGCCATCCATCCATTGCACAGCCGACTTGCCAATCGCTCACAATCGCGTTCTCACCGATGGATATGTGTGTGTGGATAATGCAGGTTCTCGATATTTTGGCCGGAGTGATGTGAAACGGCATGAGGTGGGCCTGGCGGTGCTGCAGGGCGACTGGCGAAAAGCCGTCGGCCTGCTCATTGGAACCAACAGGTGGGTACGTGCGTGGGTTCCCGGGTGGACTCGACTCACACCAGTCAGGGATCGGGGGGAGTGACGCACGAACGGGCAGCCGGCTCGCTCTCAGGCCTCCCTGCGTGCACCCACTGGGGATGGGAGGGGAGGGTGATTACGCGAGCCAAGAGAGAGGCTAGGGCCACCGGGCTCCCAGCGCCCCTTTTAGACACGTGTGCATGACAACAGGGGTCTAGAAGGGCTCGGACACCTTTGTGGACTGTCTGTGCTCTTTATGTATGCAGGCGAGAGGATTCCCCGACGTTTGAGGCGTGGCAGGCGTTCCAGAAGGGACAAATGGTATGGCTGGTCAGCTCCGAGGAGAAGGCTCCATGTGTCCATGTCCTAGAAGTGGTGATCCATCCACCTGTCACTGGTTGTGTGAGGATGTCACAGAAAGACTGCCTCTCCCTGTTGCCCGACACGTGCCCCAACCTCCGGGAGATGATTCTCACACTCATCAAGACAGGGTAAGCAGATAACGCAAAAGCACAAGTCGCCTCCTCATTTGTGTCCGTGTGTTGTGTCTGTCTGTGTGCTGTGTGTCAGCGATGCGAGGGAGGCGTACATGTCACTGCCTGCGGTCGTGCGCCGGCAGCACATGTCGGCCATCGGCAAGTTCGCATTCAACCTGGCCGCGGATTTCAGAGTTGGCCGGTACGCATAACAACCCCGCGAGTGGCGTGAACCGTGCATAATCCTGTCCGTGTGGTTGTCAGTATGGGCCACAAGGTCCTCCCTGGAGACTTTGTGCGGTCACCCGCAGCACCTGGAGGGGTCAGTGAAGCAACACAAGACAGAAGGGCACAGTGTGCAACGCAACCTACCTTTCTGTGATGGCTGGCTGGCTGTATGTGTGTGTCATTCATTTGTCAGGTGAGTATGGTGCAGGTGGAGGACATCAAGAAGAAGATGTGGCGTCTGGAGGACGTGTTGCTGCCGGTGCTGGGCTCGGGGGTGGACCTCCCAGACAATGCTGTGGCCCAATTCTACAGATCCATCTTCGACAGATTCGACCTCTCGCCACAAGCACTCACGGTCAATAGGACGAGAATGCAGCCACAGTACAGGCATTCTTGTATCGGGCTGTTTCCTTCTGGCATACTGCAGGTTCCCTCTAAGCCAGAGCTGGCTGTCACGGGTTTCTACAGGTGAGTACATCAAGTACGCTGACTGTCCACACACACACACACACACGCATCGTGTGTGTGTGTCTCTAGGCCGGCTGTGAGCATACCGCGCGAGATCCAGTGGGACATGGTGCACTACCAGCAGCCACACACACACACCCACGAGGCCCCCGACGGCGACAATGCAGGCAGCCCCCCCGCCCCGGTGCCCCTCCTGCTGTGTGGCCTGCAGCGGCTCAAGGCACTCAGGAGGACGACCATCACCGAGGAGGGTCATGATAATGAGATGGCAGACGCTGCCACAAGTGGTACGCAAGAGAGAGCGCATGGCCACATAGCAGGCAGGCAGGCAGGCGGACGGATCGCAGTACGTGTGCTCTCTGCATGTGTGTAGATGCGGCTTCCGACGACTGTATGTTGCCCCCTGACGTGCCCGACTTCGACAGTCCCGGCGGTGCCGACGGTGGTGTTGTGGGTGACGACTTCGCTCGCCCGTCGGACGGCTCTGCAACAGCCGACGCCTCGTCAGGCAGGGGCGGCAGGGGAGGGGGCGGGAGAAGAAGCATCAGGCAAAAGGTAAGTACGACAATAAGATCTCTCGGGTGGTATGCAGCCTTGTTCGTGCCTTACGTTTGTGTGTGCAGCGTCAGCAAGACACGGCGCTGCGTATTCGCGCGACGCTCGACAGACACGCAGATGGTCAGAGAGAGGGGCAAGACATTTGTGGGATGTGCGCGAGTGTGAGTGTGTTTACGTGTTTGCGTGTGTGTTGACAGGTATGATGTTCTTACGTGAGCTGCTGCATCGTGATGTCTCGGAGTTCGATGTGTCGGCCGATAAGATATCTGACAAGCTGCTGTGATGTCGCTGGCTGCATGAATTGGCTGACACTAAATCACATTGGATGAATGTACAGACACAAATTGAGAGCAACGATTAAGTATAGGCAGGCGAGGCAGGCCTTATGTCCACACACATACACACATACACACACGTCCCCCAGAGCGCCACAAACCGGCAGACAGCAATGCGATGAGCCCATGTCGATGTGTTTATCTAGCTATTGTTTGACCGGCACCTGCTCTTCCTCCACACTGACCCCCAGCTGCTGCAGCCCCTGCTTGGATGTGGGCCCTATCTCAGCGTTGCTCATGAGCTGCTTGGACACCTGGGCGCAGAACGAGCCAGGCGACTGGTCCGCCTGCCCGACTCCACCATCTTGGCCAGTGTGTCCCGCACAGGAAAGTCATCGGGCATGTTCATCTCGTCCAGCAGCTCGCTGAGGTGCTCCAACTCCGCCTTGCGGTCCGAGGCGTGCTGGGGGTGCGCCTTGAAGTATTGTTGCAGCTCCTTCTCGCAGGCCTTCTTGAGCTTCTCCTCTATCCGCTTGGTCACCTGGGCCAAACTCAGCTGGTGCTTGTGCTGAGAGGTGTCCCGCAGACTGGTCGACTGCTCGGTCAGCGCCGTCTGGCCGTCGAGGGGCGAGGGATTGCTGCCCTCGGTGCGTGGGGGGCCGTCGGGCTCATCTGAGTCGGGGTTGGCCTCCACCAGGTCCGGCCAGGCGATTTCGCTCTCCTGCTGTGCCTGGGCGCCCTCCTGCATCATTGCAGTGGCCTGGTCGGATGCATCCACAGTGAAGGAGGTGCCGGGAGAGGCGGCTGCGTCCTCTGCAGTGTCGCTGTTGGTCAGGGATTGGTGAAGGGCCTGCTGCGCTCGCTCCACATCGATGAGACTCCTGCGGGTCGCTGATGCTGGGGTGGGGCCCAGAAAGAGCCACACAAGGCTGACGCAAAGGACGAGGGAGCGAAACAACATCGCGAACGGGAGGGTACCAAAGGAAGGCGGCCCCACGGGGGGGCCGTTTCGCGACCGGCGATCGTTCCCTCTTCCCCCCCCTCTCTCGCAAGAATGGCCGCCTCTTCCAACGCCGAGGTGCTTGCTGCATTGACCCTGACCACTGACGACGGGAAGCTGAATGTCAGGCTGGGACTGGAACACCTCAAGATAGTCGTTAAGGAGTACGCCAAGAAGGACCCCAAAGTCCGCACCTCAAACGAGATCCAGGTAGGTAGATGTGCCGCCCGCAACTGATCTGCAGACACAATTGGTATCGTGTCCTGCAGGCGATTGGAGCATGGCTGAATCAGCCTGGTTTGCTGGCCACCCTGCGCGAGGAGACGAGATTGGAGTGTGGTGCCAAGTGTTACTACAAGAGGATAAGGGCGGGGAAGGCCCTTGACAAGACACTCCTGCAGAAGTATGCTGTGGTCGTTATCGGTACGCATGTCCATCAGAATTGCCGGTGACGGCCGTGTGCGTGTATCTTCAGAGGGCCTGCTCGCCCAGTTTCAGCATTCGATGGCGCCTGAAGTGCCCTCCTTCTCACGCTTCAGACCTCCAGGCACACCATCAGAAGCATCGTCGGCAGAAGGCATGCAGCCACACGCACGCACACAGACAAGAGCACGAGGATATGATGTCCCGCGTGCAGGGTCTGCATCTGTATCTTCGTCTTCCGTGTCCTCTCCGTCTGAGAGGCGGCTGCTCGCTCTGGCGCCCCCGGACCCCAGGCGGCAGGAGATGGGATACCTGGGGCTCGATCTCGACGAGGCGCTCAAAAAAGCCGTGCGTGTGTGGAGATCGGGTGAGGGAAGGAGACACGACTGAGACACATTTATGGCTCCGTGTCTTTCTTATGCATCATGTGTCAGGGACCTTGCTGCTGTTTCCATCACTGCTGCCAAAAGCGTCTCGGGAGAACACTGGGGTGGGGGTGCGCCGCAAGCAGGTGGTGGTTGAGGAAGAGGCGATTAGAAGGCAGCAGACGGTGGAAAAGACCAAGGCGAGAGAAGGTATGGACGCATGGGTGTCTGTCTCATGCTGCTCAGGCAGACGCGAATGCTCGTGTCCTTTTGCATTTGTTGCTGGGCAGGATCGCGTTCTCCGGCTGTGGGTGTCGGCGAGGCACCGCAAATACTTGGAAGCGGCAAAGCTGACAGACCCCCCGCATCACGACCGGTAAGCTAAGGCAGCACAGCCAAGGACATGACCTTCGTCCGTATGTCTCTGCGTGTGATCCTGTCAGGTGTTTGTTGGTGGTTCAGGCGAGAGTGACGATGCGGCCCGCGCCAAGTGTTTCCCCACGGCGCTACCGGCATGGTACAATGTTGAGTCCTACCTCTGGATCGCACTCACACACAACGACCTTATCCTGCTGCCATACGAGGCACGCTACACGCCTCAAGGAAGAAGAAAAGGACAGCCACACCGCCATTTCATTTCGATTTTGGTGCAGGTGTTGGGTCAGAGTTTGAAGATCGAGCGTGCACAGGAGCAGAAGAGGCGAAGGGCCTTTACCGTTATGGCCCTGCCGCTGCAGATCCGCCGCCTTGTGCGCGAATCCCACATGGAGAGGCTGATGACCACTTTTCAGTACCAGTCACTGACCAGGGGCAGACTGCTGGTCAGAGAGGGACAAATCAGCAGCACCCTGTTCCTCGTCCTGTCGGGGCAGGTGCGCTTCTCGGCCACGGGGCGCACAGCCACAACCCTCTCCCAGACGCCCATGCACCAGCTGCTGTCACTCCCACAACGCACTCTCGCTCGCCCGGTCTCGAGAGCCGACACACATGTCACAGATGTCACGGTCAAGGATGCAGAGGTGAGCAGCGCACTGGGCAGCAGCAGCAGGGCACTGGGCGGCACATGGGGCTCGGCAGCTCTGCAGTCGGAGGCTCAGATGGCTGCCGATCGGCCTGTGAGTGCGTCCGAGGGCGGCGCTGTGGTGATGGGTGGCGAGGAGCTGGGAGAGGCGGAGGGGATGGAGTTCAAAGCTGTCGAGACACACAAAGGGGTGCCTGGGTGCTCTTGGCTGGTGGGCAAGGGCGTGTGGGTGGGCTGCAGGGGGTTGCTGTCCATACCTGAGCTGTTCACTGTCCACACCGGTAAGCCAACTTGACACAACAACACAGTCACCACACACGTTGCCCCTGAGTGTGTGTGTGTTTGTGTTTGTGTTTGTGTGTCTGCACATGCATGCAGAGACATCGGTGGTGGAGCTGTTGATGTGTTCTTGCCACGACTTCCTGGACCAGTGTGGATCGATGGGCGCGTCGACAGGCCAGGACCTCCCCACCAAGCTTAACAGTGGCGAGGAGGCCCGGACGGTGTGGGCCCTCAGCAACATCCAAGGACACGTGGCCACGGCTCCTCAGCTGAGCATCCCCCGGCTGACGCTGCTGGAGCCGCCCCCGTGTGTGGTGCAGGAGATGCAGCGGTACCTCGACCTCACCTCTTGGCGGCCGCCTAAACCGCCATACAAGAGGGGCACCGACCTCATGCAGGCTGAGAGCTGACACGCATGTGCTGCCTGCAGTGCTTACTGTGTCGATCTCGTGACTTTGGGTCTGTTGGGAGACAGAGCGGCATCTTTGCTGGTGAAGAAGGGAAGGGGACATACTACACGAGCAGCTGTTGTGTGTGTCTGCAGGTGCGGTTGGCTGCCACGCAGCTCGTGCAGACACGACTGTGTGTACGTGTCTGTGTGGTTTGGTTTGATGATGGGACTCGCTATAGCACAGAGCTCTCAATCACCCATGGGTACTCATTCAGTGTCCTTTCATCTGAGACGCAAACAAATGGCTTGCACAGCGCACTGCCCACAGCCATAGGCCAAATACACCAGGGAGACAGAGACACATCCACCTGTCTGCGTGTTGCTGACGATATGAGATGTAGGCACCGATTTGCTCGCCCCCCGTCATCAAGCTGTCCGCACCCTCCCTCTCCTCTCCTCCCTGGCCCTCGACGATGGCCAGTGACCTGTCGAAGTCGGCGCTGACAGTCGCCACATGCTCCGGGTCCTCGCGGCGGCGACGCCACTCGGCCTCGATGAACACTTGCAGCCAGCGCACAACACGTCGGCGACCCTCAGAGCCAGCTGCTGGGTGGCCGTCACGTCGTACGGCACGTCAGCAGCAGGTGGGGGGAACTCGAGCCGGAAGTTGCAGCACATCGGTGTGTCCTCGAGAATCGTGATGCTGAGCGAGCAGCACATACCACATACATACACACATGTGGACGAGATCCACACTCTTCTTCCCACCGTTCCCCCCCCCCC